CACAAGGCCCTTCCCAGGGCCACACTATCGGGATTCCTGGCGTCCCAAACTATGAGCCAAAATAAACTTCTTTACTTAGAAGTTATTCAGTCCCAGGGATTGTGTTATAGCAATATGAAATGGAGTAAGACACCTTGTCGCCAACCTTCGAGGAAAAATCAACAAAGAACATAAAAGTTACTCAGAAGGTGCAAGGTCCTTGGAGGCTGGATCTTAAAGAATAGATGTCATTATTCCAAGCCAAGTACTCCAGGACTAGAGTTGCCAGATTTAGCAAGTAAAGATACACAGTGGCTAATTAAATTAGAATGTCACATAAATACCAAACAATTTTTTAACTATGTCCTCAATATTGAATGGGATGTATTTACACTAAAAAATTCTTGGTGGTTTATCTAACATTCATATTTCATTGTATATCCTTTTTTTTTTTTTTGGTACCAGGGATCAAACTCAGGACCTTGGGCTTGCGAGGCAGATGCAAGAACCACTGAGCTAAATCCCCAGCCTTGTGTATCCTGTTTTATCTGGCATCTTATTACAAGAATGACAAGGGCAGGGGCAAGGATTTACCTCAGTGGCGCTGCTGCCTGCCTCACAAGTGCAAGGTCCTGAGTTCGATCCCTGGTACGAAAAAAAAAAAAATGACAAGGACAGAGGTGAAAGGAACACAGCTCAAGTTAGCCACCTCAAATTGGTGGCTTCCTAGCCCTGAGGTTTTATTCTTTATAAAGTGGAGTCAATTGGCAACACTTTGAGGATTTCTGGCTTCCTTTAAACATGAGAAGCTTCAGCCATGCTGGTAGTACCTGCCGTGTAATAAGACCTAACAGGACAGAAAAGAACTTGAAAAAGTGAACACTGATTACTGACTTGTTAGGACAGGGGGATTGTGGGTAAATTCATTTGAGAATGTTTGTTGCAGGGTGAGTCTGGAGTTTGCACAGTCAGCTGCCCATGCGTCGGGCTTTGGCACACCCCATCATCACTCCATTGCCCCGCCCAAGGCTTCACTGTTGCAGTCCATCCTAGTAATGCAGGCTGCAGAGTCTGAAAACTCACCCATCTGCCAGGCCCTTGCCAGAAGGGCTTCCCTCTTTCCAGGGCCAGGATGGAAGCTTCTAGTCACACGCTGGAGAAATGTGTCCACAGTGCCTCCTGCAGACAAAGGCTGGAGCTGCAGGTTCTGGGAAAGGCCCTGCTCCATCTTCCCCCGCAACTATGTGGCCACAGTTAGGAAAGAAGCAGGCAAAATGTAGGAGAAAAAGAAAGTTGAAAGAAACTGGAAATACTAAACATTTGATGTGGGAGATCACATAAGACGATTGAGGTCTAATTGTCCTCCTCAGTGAACACTCAGAAGAAAGAGGGCATGCAAGTGTACCCAGACAGGTACCATGGAGGGAGGGAGACAGATGAGTCCTGTGTATTGCTTGTGCCCGTGTCTGAGTGAATAAAGCCGAGGTGCGCCAGTCACTTGGGGCTCTATGTCGAAGGGAGACAAGAGCCCCCTGCCCTCCATATTTTAACGTAATTCTGTGTCTCTTTACTTTTCAACCTTGTCACCCCTTGGTCAGGTTCAAGCTCCTAGGCTTGTTCCTAGGAGTCTTTTCCAGACAAGAGTTCTACGTGTTGATTTAGTCCTTAAACTATCCCCATAAGGTGGCGCATTACAGTACCCAAAAGAATTGAAAATAGGGTCTCGGATTCTTGTCTGACAATGTTCATTGCTGCATTACTCATAATAGCCAAGAAGTAGAACCAACCAAATGTCCATCAACAGATGGATAAACAAAATGATGTGGTACGTATATACAATATAACATTCAGTCATGTGAAGTTCTAACACATGCCACAGCACGGGTGAACCTTTAAAATGTTGTGAGCCTCGTTTATGAAGTGAGCCACTGAGCCCTACTTTTCAGATAAAGAAATGAGACCCAGGGAGCCATGAATTATTTACCCAAAGTCAGATGGCCAATAAGTGGCAGAGCCAGGATTCGAACTCAATATTATTTCCAAAGTGTGTGACCTCAAGTAAGTCACTAGACTTCCCTGAGCAGCAGTAGTCCAATGTATAAACTTTAACAATAGTGAACACTTATGGTTTGGATCTAAAATGTCCCCCATAAGGCTGACGTACAATATTAGAGGCTTGGTCTTCGATGCAACTGTTAGAGGTACAGCTTCGGGGAGGTCGTTGGATCACGACAGTTCTAACTTCCTCAGTGGATTACTCCATGGATGGGTTCACAGCTGGATGGCATTATTGGAAGATGTTGAAAACTTAGGAGGTAGAGCCAAGCTGGAGGAAGTAGGTCACTGGGCACACAGCTTAGCTTAATATGGTGGCACATGCTTGTAATCCCAGTACTCTGGGAGGCTGATGCAGAAAGATTGCAAGTGTAAACCCATCTTTGGCAATTTAGCTCAGAATTTAAAAAGGTGGGGATGTCACTCATTTGAACCCATTTGATAATGTGAAGGCCCTAGGTTCAAACGACAAAATATGTTTTTTGTTTTGGGGGTTTTTTTGGTACCGGGGATCGAACTCTGGTCCTTACGCTTGCGTAGCAGGCAGCGAAACCACTGAGCTAAATCCCCGGCCCAAAATAGGTTTTGTTTTGAGACAGGGTCTCGATATGTAGTTCTGGTCTTAAACTATGTAGTTCAGGCTGGTCTTGAACTCATGGCAATCCCCCTGGCTCAGCCTTCCGAGTGCTGGGATTACAGGCATGTGCCACCATGCCTAGCTTCAAAATATGAATAAAGTATATCTTGCTCCTGGTCCCTTCATGTCGGGCTTGGGTTGTCTGTCTCTCTCTCTCTCTCTCTCTCTCTGAAACCATGAGCCAAGATAAATCTTTCCTCCTTTATCTTTTTTGGATGTTTTGTCAGAACAGAAAACTAATGAAACAGTGTTAGGTGTACATTCATTGAGATAATAGTTAACAGCATTGGCACATGGCAAGCATTCAATGAACACATTCATCCTTCTTCTATTTCCCCAACACAGACCTTCTCCTGTCTGACTGCCAGGAAGATGTTATTCACTAGATGAATTGTGTCCCCACTACATGTCAGGTCCCAGGCTAAGACATTTTATCACAGACATAATTTTATTGAATCTCACACCTGATGTAGGCATTGTTATGAACTCATTTGACAGACAAGGAAACCCAGGGTTATGGAGGTGCAGGAATTTGCCCAAGATCCCTCAGCTAAGAGGAAAAAGATGGGATGAGACCAAAGCATCAAATGTTCAGTGGAATTGTGATATGAGCTGAAGCTGGGGGGACAGGCTGCAAGGGATGTGAGACCTAGGGCCTTACCTTGTCCCAGAGCTCAAGGAGGCCAACTTGGCCAAGCCGAGAGACTCTGGTGGCTCGGAGCTCCCCGGGGGCTCCTGTGCTTCTGGTTGGCAAACACGGTTCTGCTGTCAGGGACAGTGAAGTCGAGCGGAGTATATGAACCAGCCAGATATACTACTCATCTGTAGTTGCACCACTCTGGGAAGCTGAGGGAGGAGGTTCCCAAGTTTGAGCCCAGCCTAGGCAACTTAACAATTTATCAAGACCATGTTTTAAAATTTAAAAAATAAGGGACTTAGCTTAGTTCAGTGTAAAGATCCTGGGTTCAATCTCCAGGCCACATGCACACAACCACAAAAGGATGTAAACCTTAAAAAGCTGGAAAAAGGCTCCTTCCTGTACCCATTAGACTTCATTTAAGCAATACGTTGCAATTAAACTAAGGGTCAGAGTACTGGCTCTGCCATATTCTGGCTGTGTAACCTAGCAAGTTATTTTACTTTACTGAGCCTGTTCCTTCAACTCAAATGTGAACCTACTATCTGCTTCAGAGGGTTGTTGTAATAGAAAAACTTTGCTGTATCAAAGAACACATAAGGGTTCAATAAAGGTTAGCTATTATTAGTATAACTAGAGGCTGTTACATTAAAAAGGGAAGTAGGGTTGTAGCTCAGTGGTAGAGCACTTGCCAGCATCCTGGGTTTTATCTCCAGTGCCACAAGAAACAAAAAAGGCAAGGCAAGTGGGCTCCTTGCTGTAGACTGATGGCTGTTGAACTGAAAAGCACCTGATCTCCCTACAGGGGCAGACGCTACTGACAACCAATTATTAACCCAGCAGGAAAACAGGTCCACTACATCCAGCCCTTTTTGTTACTCATGCTTAGATTTGAGATAGCATCTGGCTGTGTAGTCTTTCCTGGCCTCAACCTCCCAGTGCTGGGATCACTTAAGTGCTTTCTTTTATTTTTTTTAAGTGTGCTCTTTTTATGCCTGGCTAGGATACCCCAAATAAATTGCATCTGAACATGTCAAGGCCTTTGTTTTCCTGTCTTTTCGGAGCTATTTGTAGCACTGGCAATTGAAACCAGGGCTTCAGGGATGATGAGCTTTTACCACACAGCTACATCCCAGCCTTTTTATCCCAGAATTCCCTTGGTCATGATTCCCCAAACATCAAATTTACACTGTATTACTCTAGAGATGGTTTAACATACATTAGGACACACACAGGTTCTATGCAGATTCACTTGAAAGGGACTTCTACATCCTCAGATCTTGGCATTCACTGAGGTTTGAAAAGTGCCACAGGATCGGCCTTGCTATGGTAGGTCTCAGAAAGGTAGCAAATCAGACCTTATTACACCTAATTCCTAAACCTCAAGGAGAACCAATGAAGGAATGAACAAGAGCCACTGTACACATCAAAGCCATCTTTTTCACAAAGGTGAAATTCTAAATCCACTCAAAATCAAGTCAAGGACAAGCAAATCAGAACCATTAATAACCTACTGACACCATTGCTCATCTTTAAGACCTTGACACAGAACCCAACCACCCCTCACCCCAGAGACCAATTCTTCCCCCTCACACAAATCTGGGCCCAGTGAATAACCCTAATTAAACTGACACCTGCATGCTGCTTGTTATCCCTATTCAATGTTTACATCCAACAACCACACACAATGTCTTGATTTCAAGAATTTTATTTTCTTCTCCCAGATAGGAATGTCTTGAATTCAAGAATCTTATTTTCTTCTCCCAGATAGGAAGGCTGTTATACACAAAGTCTTGTGGGACTGGCTCAGGAAACATTGGGCTGACTTTTCAAGGTCTTCTACTCCCACTCCATAGCTGAGAAACTTCTAAACAGAAAACAAAAAGATTATATCAGTGGTCTAAATAAAGTGCTACCTTTTGGGAACAGCAATGTCTAATGAAGATGTGGTCTACTCTACACATTCTTCAGTCAATCCACCAGGCCAAAACTATGGCACACATATATGAGATTTTTTTCTTTAGAACTAAAGCCTTAGTCTTCAGATTTAATTGCAGTGTTGGCACTTTGCCCTAAGTGGGTTTTGGGTTGTGGTTTGGGTATTTGTCTCCAAAAGGTTCACTGTCAATGCACTAGGCTGGTACCAGGAAGAAGCTGGGAAACTTCCACTAAGATGACCTGTCTCTTCCGGACCTCAGACACTTAAGATTGTTATCCATGCTGTGAAAATGTTTCAACGTCAAACTAGAAATAAGCCTTTTCAGGTAAGAACATGGCTAAAAATAAACCCAGATTGAGGACACACACTTGTCTTTAAAAAAGGGTGGGAAGCATTCATGCTGATATTCAAGGATCAAAACCTAAATATAATTAATTGCAATGCACACTAAAAGATATTCTCAGTCATAAATAGTTATGTGGGAGAACAGCACCCGCCCCATTAATTGTTTTAAACCCAACTTAGACCTGGGTTTTTATGGTCAAATCACTTCCATGGGTTTGAGAACTGAAATCTTACCTGTTGCAGGACAGATTCAATCAAGCCAAAGGTCTGATTGACAACAAATTTGAGCCCCAAGGGCTCCTGATGTGACCTGTAGAAAGTTAACAGATAGGGGCAAAATAAACAATCTGAATTCTGGATAAAACAGAGCAAGCCTGACTCACTAAAAAGCACACAGAAGACTTGTCAAGAGTAAACAGAAAACATCTGGCGCTTGCCTTGTAAGCACAAGGTCCAGAATTCAATCCCCCGTACCACAACAACAACAAAAAAAGGGTGGGGGGGGGGCCTTGTACCCTGTGAGAGTAAACCCTCTCATAACTACAGCAGAGGCCCTAGAAAAGCTTGGGAAGCATCTTGCGGCCAGTACTGGGGGAAAAAAAAATAGGGTCCGGGGATTTAGTTCAGTGGTTCAGCCGCCTGCCTCACAAGCACAAGGTCCCGTGTTCAATCCCTGG